TCCCCCGCCCACCCCCATCGCACACTGGGCTCTGGCTCAAAGCCTCTAGGGCGTAACCCTGCACCCAAACCAGGTCACCCCCACCACACACACATGCATTCACAAGCCAGCCCTCTGCTGTAGCCCCCACCCAGCTGAGCCAGTGGCCACAAACCAGCAGTCACCACCACCCTGCCCACAGCCACTGCTTTCCATCAGCCAAGGGGACCCATATCCTGGTCAGCCCCTTTCTCCTGCCCTGACTCACCCTGTGTGGCCCCCAAGAATACCTCCTGGCCTGGGGGCTCCTGGGCTGACCTCCCCGCTGCCAGGTGGTGGGGGGTGGGTAGCCATCCCCAACCTTGCCACTCAATTTCTCCCTGCAGAGAGATAGGTTCTGTCCTCATCTATCCCCCACCCCCGCGCCACTGCTCAGCAGTGCTGTAATTATTACGGCTATTATTATTGTTGCTATTGCCTTATCTCCCAGTCTAATATTCATGACTGCTGCTCCCCATAAATCCTTCAGACTAATGAGTCAGAGATGTTGCCCAGGTCTCCCCACTCCACAATGGCCTCCTCTGTCGCCGCCGCTGCTTTTGGCCTCTCTTTGCACGCCGCGATTTCGGCGGTGGCTTGCTCCCTCGCTCGCCCCGCGTGGGTGATTTATGAACGCCGGGAAAATTGAACAAAGCCGCGCGCCCGTCCGGTGGTGGTATCGCGCCGCCGCCGCAGCCTTCCCCAGCGTGAATCAGAGCATTACCAACTGTCTGTGCACGCGTCCTACTTCATCAGCCAAGGCAGCGGCGACCGCAGGCAAGCCGAGCCCCGACTCACGGTTCCCCGGACGACGAGGACGTGCCGCGCACTCCCCGGGCTTGCGGAAGCCCTGCGGGGAGGAAGCCCCAGGACCCCACCAGGCTCCACCACCGCTGCCGGGCTGGGCTGTCTACAAGGCTCTCTCCACTCCTCCCTTCCTAAAGTTAAAGGCTTTTGGAGATCAGTTTGAGGGTGTGTGTTTGTTAAAAAAAAAAAAAATCAAATCGCAAGTTGGAGACTCACTTCTGAGCGAGTCCGTCTTAGTGAGGCCCTGCCGACTCGATCCATTCCTGACGATCTGCATTAATTATTTAATGAGTCACGTGACCTCGAAGACGACAATTTCAATATCTTCCTCCAACGGGGCTACACCTTTATCAGCTGCAACCAGGGCCCTTGAGTGGCTTTTCTGCTTCTCTTGCCCCTCTCATCCTGATCTGGGAGTACACATGCCATCAAGATAGCGGGGTGATCCTAGCAGAAATAGACAGTCTGGAATTCTCAGCGACTGGCACAGTGAGGGTCCCACCTGTGTCCACGCCACGCAGAAAGGGTCTGGGGCATCCTCCAGCAGGCAAGAACTCCCCATCCCCACCTCCCAGCCGTCCACACCTGTGGCTGCTCACCAGCTCAGTCACCCAGTCGGCCTGATCACAGCTCTTCAACTTTCACACTCAGGAAGATAGGGAATATTGGGAAGGAGGCTCAGTCAGCTGCCTCAGTTTCCTCATCTGCAGCTGAGAAGCAAACGTCCTCAGGCCTTTGTCATATCCTCAGACAATCTTTGCAGTCTGGAACTTTCTTTCATCGCCCGCCCCCTGGCACCCCAGACACTTACACCCTAGAGAGGGGCTGGCCTGAAGGGGCCACCTTTCAGAAGAGCCTTCAGGGTTCCAGGTCATAAGGTGCAGATTAAAAGTCCATCCCACCCCACCCCCAGCACCACAATACTGTCCCAGGACAACACCATGTCTCTCCCTCCTGTCACTGCCAGCCCAGGTCCCCCCCAGAGGAGAAGTCCAGCTGTTCTTGGGCTAGGATATGGTATGGAGAAGGCAGTGACCTGTGCTCTCCCACACGCAACTGTGCCTAAGGATGCAGAAGTCAAGACAGTGCCCTGTTGGCCTCCTGCCCACCCAGAATACATTCCTTCCACTGCTGCAATGGGTTGAGGGGTGTCCTTTCATTCCTGCCTTTCTGAAACCAAGGCATTGGATCTGCTAGAGGAAGCAGCAGTGAGACCAGGAGCCTTGGAGGACCCCCACCTGGGGAGGAAGGTGACCAGTGGGGGAGTGAGGCACAGAGGCTGTACACAGGCGGCCATCCCCATCTAAGTAAGCCTCCCAGGAGCCCCAGCCTGGGTATTAAGTACTCTACGCCTGTCACAGTTGAATTCCTGCTGTAATAAAACACCGGGTATACCGTAGATTTCAGCAAAATTAGGGGAGAAAGCCTGTAAAGTGCCATTTTTCTTCAAGGGGGAGCATGTTAAGTACTTAATTCAAACTGTGATCATTAAAGTGTCTCCTATCCGATTTAGGTTGATTTCAGAGGTTGACAAAACTTTTTATCTCGGGAGGAGTCACACGCACAGCTTGGCTCTGACTGAAGCAGAAAAGTGGTTGGTGTGTATTGGAGGAAGGGAGGGAAGGAGGGAGAAGAGAGAGAGAGGAGGAGGGTCATTTTGGTAGAATCCAGAGCTTACAAAAATACTGTCCTTAAAGGTCAAGGGTTTGAGGAGCTAGAGGGGTTTGCTTAAAAAAAATTAATGAGATAGAAAATTTGTCCCCTCGGTGAACTCTCTTGGTTGCCCCAGCAAAGGGCAGACAATGCACGATTTTGAAGCACAGAGTTCTAAGCTCTTTTTAAGGGCTAAATCTGAAACAGGCAAAAACACTGCAAAGACAAGGCATGTTCACTTGGATCATTTTTGGCTAATTCTGGTTTTATAAAAACCCCCGCAGAAGCTTGAATTATGTCAGCTTGCAGGGAAACGCCTTTTTTTTTTCTTGCAATATCCGAGAAAGGATCTCCAATCCCATTTCTTCCCTTCCTGGAGATTGGATAAGAGTAAGTGAAAGGAAATCAGGGGTCACCCTCCAGCGGGAAGCTAACAGTGCCCACCCCTCCTCCCCAAGGAGGGAGCCAAGGAAGAATTTACCTGAATGAGGACCAGCTGCCACCTGAGGTTTTGTAGCATCCACAGGGAAGGCCCAGGCATTTTGGGGGCTTGTTTTGGGAGCAGCCAGCCAGGATGCTGTGTCTTTCCCTGCGAGCGGCGAGCACAGTGTTTGCAAGAGGAGTCTCATCCACACAGACTTTTCCCAGAGAATGCCTTTCAGAATTGCTGTTGAATTACAAAGAAGTATTTATTGTAAGAGGTGATTAATGATTCCTGGGAAAATTGCTATTTTCAGCGTGATTTAATTTCATTTTACAAGTGCATGTAGCAGGGGGAAGGTTTGTAAGTTTTGGCAGTGGGTCTGGGTCCACCGTGCTTTCAGAAACCCCTGGCTTGTTGATGCCAGGTCTGCTTTGCTTTGTGTGTATTTGTTTGCCCCTAGTTTTTCTTAGAGATTGCTGCCCATCGCCTTCTCCTAGTATGTGGCTGTTACTAGGTGTAGCATGACTTGCCCTTGTCTGTAGCACACACGGGACTGAAGGTGGTGCCAACGCTCACACTTGCTAAGGCTGTCATCCCTGAGAGCAGAACACGTGGGAAATTGCTCAGAAGTTGCCGCCGCCGTGTGAGCACAGGACGTGAGAAGCACTTTTGCAAGGTTGCGTGACAGTTCTGACATTCTGGTGGGGGTGGAGGGTGGGGAGAGCTAGTCTGCTTTGCTTTCCCCGTCTTATTCCAAGGTCTTCCCTTGCAGTCAGCACCAAGGGCAACCCAGATAGCAGAGTTCTGGGGATGGGAATGAGCTTTGATTTCAAGCTTTTGTAGCCACATCTCTGGGTCTCTATCTAGATTCCTAAGCGTCCCTGGGAAGTGCCCCGGGCTCAGAGGTCTCTATTCCAGCAGTGAACTCTTCCACTTCCGGGGTATGTTTCTGTCCTCAAAAGAACCCTTTTGGAAGGTATACTGAAACGATTTAAGTTATTTTGAAAGTTTATTTTTTTTTTATCTCCCGGGAAACAGGCAGATTAAGTGTGAAGGTGCAATAAATGCCAATGGGACCACTTCTTTCCAAGTGTGTTCAGAGTTCAGCGTGCAGAACAGCTGCAAGGACTCGGGCCCCTGTGCACTGCATGGTTTCACCTTTCATCGCCGAGGACGTGTTTCTGTGCCTTGCAGAGACTGCAAGCCTGGCCAATTTGGGAAGAAGCTCAAGGGCCTTCCTGCCCCTTGGAACCTTTCCACGGCGGGTCAAGCTTGATGGGGCTCAGCTCTAGTTGCATGTGCACACACACACGCGCGTGCGCACACACACACACACACACACACACACATACACATTTTGTGAGCAATCACAATCAAGGGAACATCCCTCCAAGGTCTGCACATGAAAGGACACATGTCTCCATCCAAAGATTTTTTGGTTGTTGTTTTTAATGATAAGTTTTAAGAAACACACCAATATGTCTCTTAGGTTTTTAATTTTTAACTGTAGTTTATTCTGAGCACATGGCTTCCTATACAGCCGCATCAGAAGGTATACAGTTGCACATGGTCTAAATGGACTTTCCTCTGCAGCCAGGATCGGACAGGAGCTCTAGAACAACATCTTAAATAAATGCAAGGACAGGAGACTAACAGATCATGCCTACCACCAAGGTATACACATTTGGAGAATTAAATAATCTCGTGAGGTCCACAATGTCTACTCATTTATTTCAGTTCAAAACAAGCTTGCAGGAGCTGCCTTCCCAGCAGAGGTGAGGAAGGTGAGGTTTTGTGTCTTCCGCTGGCAAGGACAGTCCCTTGGTGAGGTTTGGCATCTCACGACGTAGCTGGTGCCAAGCGCTCCTTCTCAGGGGTGCAGAGCTGGCAGCCCCGCTGAGAGCAGCGAGCAGGTTGCTCCACCTTCCAGCGCCTCCACCACAGGTGCCCCTTCTGGGGTGGCCACCCTCACAACACTTCTTTTTGGTTAGCCCAGGCTGGGCTTTATTTTGGCGTTCTTAGGGGCCAAGCGGGGAGGGGCAAATGGGGAACTGGGCAGGACAGGAAGGGATGGGAACTGACCTAGGTCCCCAAGAGATTATATGGAGGAGGGAATAGGGGTGGAGGCGCCTGCCACTGGGTGGGGATGGGGGTGTGGACTCTGAGTTTGTGCTTTTCCAGGCTGGCCTGTGGAGGCCGAGGATGCTGAGCAGTTTGACGACCGCATCTTGGTGTTGGGCAGCTTGTGATCTTTCTTCCACTTCATTCTCCGGTTCTGGAACCAGATCTTGACCTGGCGCTCAGACAAGCAGAGCGCGTGGGCGATCTCGATGCGGCGGCGGCGCGTCAGGTAGCGGTTGAAGTGGAACTCCTTCTCCAGCTCCAGGACCTGCTGTCGGGTGTAGGCGGTTCGAGAGCGTTTGGGTTCCCCTCCGCTATAACTGGGGTTGACTGAATGCCCAGAACCCAAGGAGGGGGAGGGGAAAAACCGAGGAGGAAAAGAGGGTGGGAGCCAGGGAGAGAAGGGAGGAGGAGAAGGAGAGAGAAGTCGGGGTGGGGAAGAGCAATTGGACATCATCATTATATAATAACCTGACACCAAGTTCACGCAAGACACATAAAACCGCAAAGAAAATGTTTCACAGGCTATTGGCAACGGGGAACACCCGAGAGCTATAAAGCGCGGTGCTGGGCATTGGGGCTGAAGAAAAGCTTCAAAGACACAAGGCCTGAAGCCTCTGCCAGGGCAATTAAATTTATGGGGGCTATAATTACTGCCCTAACAGTTTGGCATCTCGTAAATCTCCCGATAAAGGGACCCTGGGTACAAAAGCCTTCTCACGTTGGGAACAGGCGGCTGGCTGGCGCGCACACCCACCCCACAACCCCACAGCAGTCTCGGGTGACCCGGACCGCAGCTCCCCCTCCTCCCGAGGGGCCCCTTCGCCCACCCGGGGGGGCCTCTCTCCCTCCTGACTCCCTCGATCCGACCCGTGAACCTGGTCCTACCCCAGCCCTGGCCCTGGCCCACCCTCGCGCGCCTCTCCAGCGGCGCCACGTACCCGCGCTGACATGGATCTTCTTCATCCAGGGGTACACCACGGGCTCCTTGCCCTTCAGGCCCGGCGGGCTCTTGTCGGCCAAGAGCAGCGGGCACGCAGGGGCGCTGCCCCCTGCCGGGGCGCCTGGGGTGGCAGGGGCCGCCTCGCAGTGCCGCGGGGGTGCAGCGGGCGCCGCGCGGTGCTGCGGGGGAGGAGGCGGCGGCGGTTGCGGGGGCTGCCGCCCCGGCTGCAGGACGTGGCTGGCGCGCAGGCCGTGCGCCCCGGGGCCCTTGGCGTGCGCCGGGGGCTGCTCGGGCTGCGGCGGCGGAGGCCGCCCGGGGCTGGCGCTGCCGCGGTAGCCATAGGGATAGGCGGCCCCGGCGGCCCCGTGCGCGGCGGGGAAGAGCGCGGCCGCGGGGTAGGCGGGCTCGCGGGCGGCCCGCGGCGTGTAGTAGGAGGCGAGGGGCTCGCGGCTACCGCCCGTGGGAGGGAGCTGGGGCTGCGGCGGCAGGTGCTGGGTGGCGGGCGCCGGGGGCTGCTGGTAGCCCGGGTCCCCGCCCGGGCCGCCGTCTCCACCGCCCGGGCCGCTGTGCTGCGCGTATTCCTCGAAGGGAGGGAACTTGGGCTCGATGTAGTTGGAGTTTATCAAAAACGAGCTCATGGTCATTAATTTGTGAAGTGCAAAAATACTAATTTTTCTCGCGTTGTCGTTTTTCTGGGCTTGCTGAGGCCCCTCCCCCTCTCGCCGCGCTTCCCATCTCCCCCCCCCCCGGCTTTTTCCCGGCGCCCTTCCCCTCCCCCTGCCCGCTGTCAAGTGCTCACCCCTCCCCCTCCGCCAAAGTTCGCGCCGCTCCTCCCACCGCCGCCCGCGCGCCCCCGCGCGCCCCCGTGCGCGTCCGCCGCGGCCTCGCGCGAGCCCCGCCCCGCGACCCCACGTGCCACGGCCCTGCCAATGGGAGCACCGCGCGCGCGGACCCGGATCAGGAAACGCGCGGGTGGGTGATGGATGCGACTGTCCAAGTCCCAGGAGTAGGGGGGGAGGGAGCCGCGGCTGGGGGTTCCCTTACTCCCCAACTTTTCTTTTCCGCTGGGAATTCGGGGGTGCCTTTTCCAGCGCCCGGTCCTCTCCCGGCACTAGGTGTAGACTACTTCTGGCCTAGGCCGCAGGGCACCGAGGCGACCAGCTCGGCGCCCACCTACGGCCCTACCCAGTGAAGCCCTCCGAGCCCCCGCTTAGGGGACTGAAGGGCGTTGGAACTCGGAGATGGCTTCAGTCCCCAGAATAAAACGGCGTCCTGTTCTAAACCCGCTGATCCCTTTCCCATATCCAAGAAGCCTGGCAGACCGTAAAAGGGAGGGAGGCAGATGGGTGGCATGGGCGGGCGAGTAAGAAGCTGCGAGAAATCGCTGCCCGATGTACAGCCAGTCCTTTCCCGTGTGTCTGGATGGCCACTGCTTGGGTTTGTTCCTGATTTGAAAGAAAAATCTGTTTTGACAGAAGACACAAATCTGGAAGCACCTCATCTGATGGATGCGGCTGTGAGAGAGCCGGTGCTCCAAGCATGGGAAGGGTGGAAGACCAAACTGTGAACCCTAGCTTCCTATTTCAGCACAAGCTCCGAACACAGGCAAGCCCTCAGCCCCTGGGCCGGCGGGCAGAGGACACGTCCAACTAGGGATTTTGTTTTCTCTTTCCTATGCCCCCTTCTTTTGGAATGGATACCAGTTATATTTACATCCCAGTCTGCAGTTTCTAACCTGCTGAAAATTAGCGTATAAAGCATTTCAGTAGCTCCGGAAAAGAAAGAGCAAAGGGGACTGGTGCCCACCATTGGATAATTGAAATGGGATGGGGAAACTAATAACACCACTTTTTGACAAATAAATGACTTGTTAATTTCATCTAATGTTGATCTATGAAGTAAATCCTGATACCTTCTGATATCTCCCCCCCCCCCTTGAGTAACAGACGCAGGCACATCCTTTCGTTGTGAGCCTAGATGAAAGCATTTGGAAACAGCATAGTCGCCATTCTAAAAATACTTTCCTACTGGCACACAAAAGCAAGGACTTTTCAGCGGGTCCACCTTGGTTGATTTTCTTCAAAGAGCAGTATATAAACAGCCTTCTCAGAACTGAGCCTGGAGGGCAGACAAGGAAAGTTATAGCCTAAATCTGGAGACACTTCAAAAAGCATGTCAATTCTATCTTCATTTATATCAGTTACTCATATGAGTTACTAAATGCTGGGATATATCCATTTGATGGATAGTCATTTAATGCTTAGCCACATAAAGCCTATTATATGGGGCTAATCTTTAAACTAATTTAGGAAAAGAAGGTTTAGAAAAGGAGGGGGGGATCATGTTAGCTTTCCACTGGACTCGCCCTGAAGTGGTTCAAAGAGGCTTTCCACACTGGGTGTATGTGTGTGTGAAGAGCGCTGGCCGTTGACATAAGGCATCCTGAAAAAAATTTTTTTTTGTTTTCAATGAAATCTGAGCCACAGACAGAAATCAACGCTGACTGTACTCCTTTCCAGACTGCGTGCGTGTGTAAATCTACCCTGTGAAAAGGCTGTCTAAAACAATCTCTCCAGCAAGAAAAATAATTGATGCTTAGATTGTGCTATATGATATAAATAACACATACATATGTACCGTGTATTACAGATCTAAACTGTTAGCTTGGGGCCGGGGAAGGGGGGAACTCTGACAAGGAAATCTTGCCCTCCTCCCTGTGTCAGCAGCCTTGAGTGCTAGGATCTGCGTAATATTATTGGAGGACACTAAAACACCCAAATCCATGCTGTTTAGCATCAGAACCTTCTAGGGAGTTTCTATTTTTAAGTGTGAAGGAGACGCACGGACCCTGTTTTGTGTATGGTTAACCCAAACGAGTGAACTGTGCCTGTGTTCCGTGTGGTTCTATGACTTTAGAAAGATGGGCTTACACAGAATCCCCCCAAGGCCTGTAACTTGTCTTTGCGGTTCCTATCATAAACACAAACGGAGCCAGGACCACCAAGTGTTATCTCGCACACCGACATTTTGACATTTTACTGCAAGATTTATGGCTGCAATAAACAATCTCAGTACCTTTTCTGAACCTTCCACAATCTCCCTTTGCAAGCTCTAGCATCATTCCACTGAAGCAAATCATCTCTTTAAAAAAAATTATTTAAAACACACACACACACACACACACACACACCCCTACCCCTTGCCCTTACCTAAAAATTTAAGACACCCAAGTAAAACCAGGAAGAAATTAACTCAATATTTAAAAACAAAACAAAACCAAAAAAAAAAAAAAAAAAAAACTAAAGTTGACCAGCATCATCTCACCCTGAGATGGAGCGGAGAGGGAGTCTGCTAATCTTCCCGCACCAACTGGCTCCAGTGCCAAGCTGGTGAAGCCATCTCTTTTCCTTGGGAAACTGGAAAGCACCTTTGCTCATTTCCACAAGCAGGAATAACGCATATGCCCAACAAAAGCTTTCTTAAAATCCCATTAAGTGAAGTAACTTTTCATCACGTCCTCGCATCCCAGATGGAGGAGAGTGAAAGCGGTCGGAGGGAGAGGGAGGGCGGAGAGGGAGACAGGCTGGTTTGAATCTGATTTGAATCATTTTGAATATATTTGGAACAGCCTTCCCCTCTTGAATGCAACCCTGTCCCAAGTTTCAAAGTGACCGAACAGTGACACCGTGTGCATTTTGTTTCTTATTAATCTTACACATTGACAGTCTTTGTTAAATCACAAGGCGCGCCCTTCACCAGCCGACATTTTCATATTTGTTAGACGCGCTGACCTGAAGTTCACCTCGGCCTTGGACTTTGCGCTTCTAAAAGGTCTATACAGTGTCTTTTTCGAGAGCGGGGTGCTTTGCCCAGGTCACTCCCTCTCAGGAAAAACCAAGAGGGGTGGGGGAAGCAAAGGAAATGGGAAGGATATGGAATGTATTGACTGTATTTGTCCTTTGTTCCACAAAGCCACATTCCCCAGACTGTCTTCCCTATCTTAAGCCCAACTCTGCAGCCAAAAGGGGAATGGCAGAATTTCAAAATGCCTCGTGATGGCATTGGAGGGCTTTCCCCCAGCATGCCTCCAACACATACACAAACACACAGGTCCAGGAGGCACTTGATTTTAGAACAACGACCATTTGACCATTGTTTGGGAGCTGATTTCCTTGTCCCAGTTTAAAATAATCAACACCACCCAGACAGAGAGCTGAAATTCACATTAGGGTTGTACATGAGTTGCAACCAGCATCATATGAGAGGCCTAAAGATTTAAAAAAAAAAAAATCATCCGGATAAAGCAAGCAATGCAGAAGCAGTACCTTCAACAAGTGCAATTTTTCTTTTAAAGGGTAACAGATCCATCTATGCATCTATGATCATTAAAGCTGATAGGCTCCAAAAATGTGTCTTATGTTTTTAACTCCTCCCCCGCTCCCCCAAAAAGACAATAAAGAGGTTTTCTCAAAGCCACATAATTATCATGGTGAGTAACCTAAGGCATGCAGCCTTCTTGTTTCCACCAGTCCAGATGTGGTCAAGTGTTCATTGCACTAACTGCCATCACCATAGTTGCTTCTTTTCTGTTTCATCTGGCAGAAGCCCATTTGGCTCTGAGCTCTCTTGGCCAAAGTGAAAACTTTACACGTTGCACAGTAGAAGCACGCTGCTTACTTCCATGAAGGCAGTGTTTGGGAAATATTTACTTAACCACTGAACATACCTGACACTGTTAAATCCAATCAGCCAGGATATATTGGGATGGATTTAAACAGCCCTACAAAACACTGCATTTTGAATGGTGGAATTAGCTTATCTCAAAAGGGTAAAAAGAAAAACCAAGTTTAAAAAAAAAAAAGTGTTCATCAGTCTCTTTTGTGTTCTTCCTGCACTGATCACTTTTGAAAGTCAATACATTTTTAAGGAAAATAAGTCCCCTGGAAAATAGATTCTAATGGCCCAACACTGAAGCTGATCTAGGTGTACACACACACACACACATAAAACCCCACAAAACCAAATGTTGTTTAGCTTTGCTATTCACCCAGGAGGCATGTGCCCAGTCCCTTTCCTCCCAAACTGTCCCCTTTCTCATCTACACGCCCACCCTTCCTCCTTAGCTTCCCTTCCCCTCTCCTTAGCCTTCTCTTTCTAATTCCACAAGCACTTTTACAAAGTGCTTTCTGTAGAACAGAAGTCTTACAAAGTGGCCTGGCACGTGTGGACAACAAATCCTCCTCTACAGCCCCGTCATTTGCTTCTGGTTGGAGGATTTCTCAGACCTTGAGCTGTGCTGTAACAAGGAACAGAACAGTCCACCTTCAGCATTTCCCCTGGGGTGGCATGGTGGCAGAGGGGAGTGTCTTTTTCCTGTGTCCCCAGCCCTGGGAGCACTTTGCATTCAGTGAGCTGCAGTCTTAGAAAAATGCATTTCCTATGTCTGGACACTGCGAAGAGTACATTTTTGCAAGAAATTTCTGTTTGCCCTTGTTCTCACAAACATACACTAAAAGGGAAAAAATTAAAAAAAAAAAAAAAAGAACCCTGACTGATCAAAATCACCTTTTAAAAGCACAGACAGTCTTTTGCACCTTTCTCTTGCCTTGGCAGGTTTCATGGGACATTGGAAACGCCCTATGTTATTCTTAAAGGTCCACTGATGAGG